CCGCCGCGCCCTGCGCGGCACCGCCTCTCCCAAAAAACACCACCAAACCCATCCAAAGCACACCAATCCAATCCAAAACAAAACAAAAAAACCCCACTCGTTTTGCTCTTTCCGATCGTGTGTCATGAAGAGTGTTTCGCCAAGCAGGGTGTATGCAAACATCACAGTCCTCACAGAGCAAAGGGTCGCAAGGAACCTCAGCCCATCTTCCGTCCCGTGTCCCGTTGGTTAAAGGAAGGACAGTTTTACGCAGAGAGGGTGACAAAACAAGAGCCGTGGCATAGGCATGGTGTAGACGCTTCACCTACTGAACGGTATATCCATACCTTTGCTCAGAAATAGCTTAAAATACGATGTGCTTTTTAAAAATAATATCCCATATTACTCTGCCCATAGCACACCTTGCTGCTGTAAATGGAAGTAACATGACTAAGGCAGGCCAGAAAGGTGCAAGATCCAAATTACTCTAGTTACAACTAGTGTAAAATGCAATATGGGCACCTGTCTATTTAGGAATAGCGTCAGTTTCGCCAGATACACAATAAATGTCCTCAAAATTGTAAAAGCCATCAAAGTTCAGATGGAGCTGGTAATAGGTGAAATATTTTGAAATTACTCCAGTACAGATAGGGTTGAAAATCATGATTCCATTCATGGTTGCAATAGAATCACAGACAGAGCAATTAAATGTAATATCACAAAGGATTATGACTTAAAGTGGAGAGGAATAAGTAACACAAGCAGATGGACTCCTAAAATACCCTGTGTTCACAAGAATGGAAAAACAGGAAGGGAAGACTGGGAGAAATGTGGTATTGAAACAATACAGCCTTCAGAGGAAACAGTCTTTAAAATATTCTACATGATTTCTCCAGGCTTGTGCAGACTGTGAGTTCATTTTTTGTTGAGGAGCCAACTCTGAGGTGCACCAGCATGGATCTTATGAGGCAGTTTTAGTGTAGATGGAAAAAAAGATATTTTGCTCTGATTTCTTATGTCCAACCCCAGATAAAAAAGAACAGAGGCAAGGTGTGAAATCAGTAAGTATCAATTTCCAGTAAAAGGGCCATTTTGACAAAATAGCTGCTTTATACAGAAAGAATAAATGCACAAGTATAACATTAAGATGACAGTGACAGCAGAGTCAATGTGATTGTTTTGACATGGAAGGGTTTAGTGATCAGTAGGAAATGGGAGGGGACTGAGCTGGGACCCCAGGTGGAATGTATGCATGATGGCAGGGTGGGAACCTGTGAAAAGCAGAAATGAAAGCAAAACGTGAGAGAGAAGTAGAGGTGGTGGGAAAAGCTCTTGCACTCCCCTGTCTGGAAACCCCTGACACATAATGTGCTGTGTGCCTGTGCCACCTACTGCATGTTTTGTTCTCAGGAGATATCTGCAAATTCTTTTTCAGAGGACAATAAGCTGTCTGATAGTCATAGGGTCACCATGAACACTGTACTGGGTCCAGCTCTGGGGCATCCAACATGAGAAAAAACATGGACCAGCCAGAGCGAGTCCAGAGGAGGCGTGAAGATGATCAGAGGGCTGGAGCACCTCTGCTGTGAGGAAAGGCTGAAAGAATTTGGGTAGTTCAGGCTGGAGAAAAGAACTTACAACACCTTCCAGTAACTAACAAGAGCCTATAAGAAATAAGGAGAGGGACTTTTGACAGGGGGATGTGGAGATAAGATGAGGGTAAACAGCTTTAAACTGAGAGTAGGTCTAGATTAGCGATCAGGAGGAAATTCTTCACTTTGAGTGTGGTGAGACACTGCAACAGGTAGCTCAGAGAAGTTGTAGTTCTAGCTGCCTTATCCCTGGAACTGTTCAAGTTCAGATTGGATGAGGCTTTGAAAAACTTGGTCTCATGAAAAGTCTCTCTGCCCGTGGCAGGGGATTGAGACTAAACGATCCTTAAGGTCCCTTCCAACCCAAACCATTCCAGGTGTCTATGAACTCACAGCTATCTTCAGAAATTTCTGCTGAAAGTTTCGCTTGACCTCTCCACAGCTTTGCAGGTTTCTGACCTTTCACAAGTGAGAAACAGGAAAGCACTTACTAGGTACCAATGAGTCTTGGAAAGTCCTAAGTCCTTGAATAAGTGATATACCCAAACAAATGTGGTCAGTGAAGTAAGAGACACTAAAATAGGCTAGCTATTACTTATCACTTTCACTGATAACATCTATGCAGAAAATCATGTCCCTACTGCTACCCCAAAAGACCCCAGTCTGAAAAGCAGAGACATAACTACAGCGTCGAGGAAAATCAGATTTGCTTTATTACTATGAAAGCCAGAAAATAAATGAGTTACTTTTTCATCTCTTTCAGCAGCTGTAATTTCTTTAACAATAGGAGGTGAGATATGTGTAGGCAGAATCTGACAGTGTTTCTGCAAGCTGCACAGCACTGACTAAATTAATAACATCTTCCTACCCCCCTCCTCCAGGCTCAGAGAGACTCATATGCTGTGCTAATGAGTACTTGCTCAGTGGACCTCCCCAGCACAGGGGAGAAATGCAGACACCTGGGAGGGCCACTGTCCTTGTCTGTTTACTGTGGTGAAAAACAGAGACTGAAATACACCTCCTGTTGAAGATTGGCAGGACCCACCACTGCAGCTTCCACCCAGCTGGATCAGTGTGGCAGCCATGGGCCGTGAGTCTTCAGAATGACCATAAAGCATGCAGGAGAAATCAGGAAGTTTTGTGGCTGATGTGTTATCAGTAAATATGAATAAGAGAATCACAGCAGTATCATAAAATGAAATAAAATAGATAAAATATAAAATAAAATAAAATAAAATAAAAAATAAAATATGCTAGTTTTAAACCAGAGGTAGCACATATCACACTTGGGTCTTGTCTGCTATGGGAAGCCAAGGCTGTTTTTACCCTCACCCTGTGGATGTCCATCTTCAGGCAGAGATGTCATGGGGTCAGTGAAAGTGGTGTCTAGTGTAATTTATTTGACTCTTCCTCGTCCTCTCAGCTATGTGCCCTAGAGTGTTTGCAGCAAACATGGCAGCTTCTTCCTCAGCATCATGCCAGCCTGTGATCCTCACTATGGAAAAGCTCAAGCTGTTTATTACCAACAGGAAAAAGGAAATGTAGAGAAGGAAACTGATGAAAACTGAATGGGGAGAGCACTGAAAGTGCTACACTGCTATTAAATTACTCTCTTCAGAACTACACTGACTACCAGCTCCCTCATGTAAATCCATGGATGTCCCAGAAAAGTAAGTTGTGTCATCAAGACAATCAGAAAGACCTTGAAGTGCTCCTCTGGCTTGAGCAAATCAAACTAGATTCAAAATGATACTGATTCATGATAATGATACATGATTCAGAGTTAAGACTTTTCTTTCTTTTTAATT